CAAATGGAAGCTGCTTTCTTCTGCCCTCTGTTTGCCTCGCTGGGTTGTGTTGAGCCTGAAGAGTCTTTCCCGGTGTGCCGTTCAGCATGTGTTACTGTGTGTGCTGCTCGTACCTGCTAGTGCCTGTAGATGTGAATGTACAAGTGTGTGTTGGGGGGATGAGTGGGAAAAGGGATGTAGGCCAGAGGTTGACATCAATGTCCTTTGCTGATCACATTCCTCCTTTTGAGAGAGTCTCCCATTGAACCTTGAAAGCCATGATTAGGCTAGGTAGACTAGCTTGCCAGTGAGCTTCAGGGATCTGGCCGTCTCCACTCTATTGCTGTTGTGATTAAGTACTGTTTTCTATGTGGGTTCAGGGCCTCTGAAATCAGGTCCTCTTGGTTTCTGTTGGGCGCTTTACTGACTGAGCCATCTCTTCATCTTCCCAGTTCACTTTATAATGCGTTTCCTAATTGTTACTCCAAGGAATGCACGGGACAAAGGACAGAGTTAATGATTTCTTACCAATCCTAATTACTACAATACAGGTGTCTCACGTCTTATGGATGCAAAGGCAGCTCTGTCCCAGAAGGCCTTCCCGCAGAACTTTATACTAGCAAACAGTGCATTACACACCAGCTGCTAATTTTAGCAACCTAACCTGTAGCTGTTAGTGGTTTGTCTACCTTACATTTACTATGCTTTACATCACTAGGATATATACAAGTAAAAGTCTGATTATGCTGAGAAAACTTTGGGAAAAGATAAAAAGTGAAAAAGAAACTATTAGAAATGTTTGACGCAAAGAAATGCCTCTGCTGCTCGGGTTAATTTAATGCACCTATCAAAAGCTTGTTCAACAGAAGCGTCAGCTTCATTTACATAGAAGTTCAGAATATCTTATATAGAAACAGTAATTTTCATGAGAATTATTTACATTCTGTTTTCTGTCAGGTTAACTCGTCTTAGTGGTCATCAATTGTAGCACCCGCCTGCGCCCTTTGTGCTACCATACAGTTTGTGAGCCGGGCAAGGAGCTGGAGATTGAAACGCACAAAGACTCACAGGCAGAGACACGGGTCATCCTTGAAACAGGAATGCCCCAAGAATGTCCCCTTTATTGTGACCAGGAGCAGCTTATATAGGGGTCCTTAATTGATAGCCACACCGCAACCAAACCCACCAGAAACCACTCCCCTGACATCAGGAGCTCCTGAGTGTCTCGTGCTCAGAGCAGCTGCAAGCTGTCTCAGAACAGAGGAAAATAAGTTGTTTACAAGAAATTCAGGATCTGGGGGTTCACAACTCCCAACAATCAATTGTTTTCTAATAGATTCTTCTACCTGTGTCCCACTGATCCTTAAAGATAACAATACTTCAAACTTATATCCTTTATTGCATGAAGACTATCAATAAACAATATTCAATTCATAGGTACATTGTTTTATACTAATATCACAGTGAACTGTACTCATTCGAATGCCAGTTCATATTTTTCTCATAGACTTACTTGAAAAAAAATAAGACAAAACCTTGGCACCTATAACTTTATCTTCATTACTGCACCACAGGGCTCAGCGGAGCATCTGGCTCTTTTTTTTTTTTTTGGTTACCTCTCTAACCCCACCACTGCGTGTCTACATGGTACTAAGCACCTAGATAGAAATGAGCAGGCTGCCAGACTCAGTGGATCATCTTCTTTAGTTCTAACTGGGCTGCAATAGAATTGCTCATAGTCCAGGTGTTATGAATGCCACCTTAGAAGAGTTCTTTACACTCTTTGAGCATCGATGTCTCTAGTATGAATTTTGTCATGCTCCTTAAAGCTGTTTGGTGAACAAAAGACAAAGTATCTTCACACAGTCAGTGGCACACATTAACTAGCAGTAAACATCAAATGCTACTGTTGCTGCCTAGGATCCCACAGTTGTTAACTGATGAGGTCGGTGTCAGTCAAGGTTTTCCACCTACCAGCTCGCCGCTCTCTTGGCTCCCCACCGTTCACAGAGAGTTTCCCAGCCACAGAAACCCACTCTGTGTGCTCACCTCTACCTGTTTCCCCGAATCTCCTCCCCACTGGCACTCAGCAGTCCCAGCTGCTGGCAGACCGTCTCCTGTCTTCTCAGGCACACACTATGTAGAATGGCTTTCAGGCCAGGAATTCATGTTCCTGGATCCAGTGTAAGTGGTAAATGAATAATTTTTTTGAAGTTTCTTGGCCAATTAGAGTCCCTAGCCTCTTATTTACAAAACATTTCCATTTGATAAAATTTTCATAGCTATCTCCTAACTTTGGACAATTTTTGTCAATACAAATGGCCTGAAGTAGAAATATTGCTTGGGTTGACCACCTATCCTCTGTGTTTGTCCGTGGATTAGGATGTGTGAAATTGATTCCAGACTCAATTTTCCTGCTCATCAACTGCTTCAAATGGTCAAGATGGCTTTGGCAGACAATACAGAATACAAGCTCTCCACCTTTGACTAAACATTTAAGCTGGCAGAGCTGTTTCCTTTGGTTAAACTCAAGTTCCCATTGATAGAGAATATCGTGCTTCTTCACTTGGTGACAGACAGCAGGCTGGCGAAATTTAAATGGACCATTCTCAGCCTTCATTTCCTGAAAGTCTCTTTGCTTACTGTGTGCCAGCCATAGTTAGGTTCTGTCCGCCTCTAAACACTTGCCCTGGGCACCTCCATTTCCTTGTTGGCATCTGCAGCAGCTGTAGGGGTCCTCACTCATTTTCATCTGGTTGCCCGCTTCTTTTTCTTCAGACTTCATGAAACATTGACTTCTTCCAAAACTAGGAAACATTGTTTTTCCCTTCTTAGTATCTTATTTTCTTTATAATGTTCCTGATCATGACCGGTAATGACTTTTTTTACATGTTATTCTTGCTTCTCAGTTTGCATTTAGTTTCTATGATGACAAGGAAGATGGCTGTTATGTTGACTATTGCATAACATATGGGGGGCATGAACACAATAAGACCACATATTTTGTACAAGGCATCTGTTAAAACATCTTTTTAGTGAACTAAATAACTCCATTATTTAAGGAGAACTAGTTTGTCATTGCCAGTGGCTGAGAAGCCTGTAAACTCTCCTTGCCATTTGCACAGGAAGCTCAGTGGGTGACATACTAAGTACTTGCCCTTAGGGAATGAACAAAAGCCTGGGTTTTTCGTTCTGGAATCTTCCGAGATTTGAGTGACTATTTCTCTTGTGGACAGCATCCCCGCAGGGATGGTATTCTTGGACTGTCTTCAAAATGCCATCTCCACCATGGTCACTTGTTTCACTAATTAGATAAAGAACACAGGACAGATTTGCCTCATTTTTAACACAGGACACCTATGTCCTATCTCTTTCCTGAGCTCAGCCAACCCCTTAACTCCAGTCTTTAGCATCTCCCTTAGTGGCCAGGCTGTGGTCTATTTCCACACTTTTTCCTACAACTGTTGTTTCTTTGTATAAGCCAGACAAAGTTTACATTTTAGCATCAGTCCCAGAATGCAACTCAAGACTTGATTCTGTGGCTCGTCACTGCTTTTCTTACCAAGTAAGAGCCTTTGCTTCCTCCAGAGACGAGGAGAGACAATGGCAAGACTGCGTGATTGGGTAAGGAGACAGAAGAGTCCAGGGACGGAACAAGGAGGAGGAAAGTTAAAGCGCAGAAGCAACGAAGTGGAATTCGTTTCAAAGTTTTAGCTTGGTCTCTTAAAGAAAATTTTCTGGGAAGATCAACTCCTTAAAACTAGAAAATCTTCTGCAATATAAATCAAGAGCTTTTACTAGAAATACTGACCAAATGTTGGGGAATTCATTATAAGAAAGGAAAGAGAGAATCATACAATTCCTCCTTTTGAGCCAAACAAGAGCTTTCTTGTTCCCCATGTCCTGACCGCGTTAACATTCGTGCTAGGGCCCTACATCATGGAATCAGGACCTCTCATAATCCATCAGACAGACCTTACTGCTCCTCACGTGGATTGGTGACGAATGTAGCTTGTTATGCCCCTAGTGTGACTTTATAAACAGACCCCAGCTGCACTCACCTTCCCAAGTTGAAAGCAGGGGGAACTAATGTTACTTCATCTAACTTTTTCTAATGTCTCTGCAAGACAATGCTCATGTTACTGTCAGACAGCAGCTGGACAACTTTCTTTTTCGTTAGCAATTAGTCCCTTAGGTACAGCTCTGCAATCAAATAGAGGTCAAGTGTATCCAAATAAAAATATTCTAGAATGTCTCTGGCATAAATCTCTCCCTAAAGGCCTCAATTGTGTTACTTCAGGAGAAAAGAACTATGATTTAAAGAAAAAGTTTACAGCTTTCGTTCATCAAGAAAAGAGAACTAGTGTGTTCAGTTTTCTAACACTGGGTCACCACGTCATTTTCAGCTTGTTTTCCTTCTGCTACATTTGAAAACAATTTGGACAATCATAGATGAAATATTGCTAAAAATGAGCCATGTGGCCACTATTGGAAAAAGGTCCCTATATCTATAAATTACAGACATGCTAGATACAATTTGAGCTTCATAGGCCCTAAAATATGCAATTAATTTTAGGATCAGTTCCTGACTAAATCATGAAGTTAATGGAAAATATTTTCCTTCCCTTTTAAGTGACAGTTGTCTAAGCTTCTGACGTCACTAATATGCTGATAACCGTTCTGTTCTCAGTTACAGAAGGAAGGTACAATTCTGAATTTATATCTAGGCCTGACTTTGTTTTGAGATCCAAGCATAGAAGCTCTGCCTAATTATGGTGGGAAGTGAGTCCCAACGCGGTCATACTGAAAGTTGGTTCGCATGACTTTCCGTCATCCTCATTACTTACACATATTCCAAGTGTCATGGGGACACTTGTGCTGGGAGGGTACTGTTTCAAGGCTTCCTGTTTGCGAATAATCAGACCAAGCAATCTCTCATCAATCACGACAGTTACTTTCCAATGTTAAGCCTGACCTGTTTCTATTTCTTCTCACTTTCCCTCCCATCGGTTCATTTTCAGGTTGGTGGTTTGATGCCTGCGGCCCCTCCAATCTGAATGGAATGTTCTACACTGCGGGACAGAACCATGGAAAACTGAACGGGATAAAGTGGCACTACTTCAAAGGGCCCAGTTACTCCTTACGTTCCACAACCATGATGATCCGGCCCTTGGACTTTTGAAGGCGCTGTGCCCGTATGGCAAATCTGCAAAGAAATCTGGGGGTGCTCCTGGATGAAAAGCCTTTTTGGAGGCTTCAAAAACAAACAGCATTCTCTCCCTTTCATCAGCAAGTGGCTATGTGAGGGCACCAAGGTTCTTGACTATGGATTCGGAGCCTTCTGATTTCAAAAGTCTCCACATGGGTCACTGTATTCTAGTGAACTGTCTCCAGAGAATGCCACTTGCCACTCACTGTCATGCTTTGGAAAGGGAGGAAGCTGCTCGGCTTGCCACACTTCAAAGTGCTCCTGGATTTTATTTTGAACCTATAGCACGCTGATGATAAATGCGGCTTGTTTCATGTAAAACCAAATGAAGAATAAACAGCAAAGAACATACATTAAAAAAAAAATGGTAACAGGCCTGCCAGAATCCGTTGAAGACAGATCGCCGTGGTGACGTGGTATCATTACAGGACATCCTGCTAACACATAACACTGACGTCACAGCACGAATGTGACATAAGAACAGCCTTGTCCTCTGAATTGGTTAAAAGTCAGTTGGCTTTGGAAGCCCATTTCAAGTGTTTTATTCACTAGTTGGTTTCGGTTTTCCTCTGTTCAAGGGTAAATTCCATCTTTGAAAGTCATGATACAGAGGGTTACAGTATGAGGTAGAAAGATGCCCAAGGACTCTGAGTTTTGGGGGATACCATTTTCAGAAGAGTCAAAATACAATCAAGAATGGATCCAACAGGTAAAATGTACTCTCATGCTAAAGTATTCATTTACATGGGAAAATGATTTACAGACACACAAATACGTTTAGAGCCTGAGTATATATAAAAATGCATCCTGTTCTCAAAACAATATGTATACAGTTAGTGGTCTCATTGACAGTGTATGGGGAGCAGTATGTAGAGAACCTGAGTTGGGACAGCCAATTGTATAGATCTTCCGACATGTATTTGCATATCTGGGGCATCATTATTTTGAAAATGTTTGTAGGTCTTCATTTCTTCATCCAGATATTGTGTGCTAATTTAATTTTTTTGTCAGTTAGCTACAGTTTAGTTACAAAAGGTATCCTGTTCCCTTTCTTTATAACGTTAAACTTTGAAGTCTAAATAGAATGGAAGCATTAAATGTCATTGTACATAGCCTGCTAGCCCCTCCCATGCTAAACCCAACACCTGTTTAATCTGGAATATACAGTGTTGTCCAGCTGGCGACCACAAACATGAATGCTCAAAGACATTTACTCTACTACCTGATTAAATATATAGCTCTTCACATTGTGTTTTCTCCTTCAGCCTCTATTTTCTCAAGCATTTTCTCTCTTGTAAAATAATATTAGCAGAGAAAATTGGCATAATTCCTTATATGTGAGAGATATAAAAAATTTACAGTCACGTGGCTAGGAAACTTCTGATTGTCAGCTGCTGTAAGTGCCTTCGTTCAGATGTCCCTATGGCATAATCTATTGGAGTTTTGGACACACGCGTTTGCGAAAACTTGACGTCACTGCAGGGTTTTATCAAGCAATGCTCTTCGTCTATAAATGGTCAAGGTTATGTCAGAAAATAAAATGCAATCCGCATGATTTATTATGAAATGAGAAAACAACGTTGTGCATCAGTTCTTCTTCCTTGGAGAAGAAAGATTTTCTGTGGAATACAAATTTCAAAATATCAGGCTTGACCATTGCACCCGCTCTGCCTCACTGGCTTTCCTGCGTCTGGGAGAATAAAGCTACTCATGGTTTTAAGAAAAGGTTTCTTCAATGTTTACCATCAAGTCTTTCTTATATTTATATGTTTGTACACAATACCGTTTTGCCTTACAAGTAGCATGTTCAGGAATTACAGGTTTTCTGACATTGGTGACTCCCTCAGAACTCTCCTAACCCTCTCCATCTAATACCCTTGCTTTCATTTAGGTGATGGAAAAGGAATATTTTTGTGGTTGTGGTTGTGTTATTGTTGTTGTTCTTCCCACAGCTGTTTTCAAACCAGTCTTGGATTAGGTATACTGTTCCTCAATCTATCTTACAAAAATACAGTGAAATAATGAGAAAAAACATGGTATTTACTGTTTTTCTATCTGGGTTTGAGAAATGAGATATTGTTTCCAATTATTTATAATAAAACAGTATAAATGTTTAGTGATTCCATTTTGTACACTGTGTAATGCCAACATGTCTGTAGCAATTTGACATTCATAGCTTTTGCTTTTAATTATTTCTGGATAAAATAACTAGATACTAGAATTTTGTCTTTCAATTTCTACTTCAATAAAAGTTGTGTGGTTTCTATGGAAATGTCTTCATAACAGTCACAACATTATTTGTTTCAAATAAAGTTGAAAATAATGTTTGCAACTTCATCTTGTTTTATTTATATATGCTATAAAATTTAACGTCACAATCTACAAAAGGACGGAATCACTGTAAAATTGCCAGATGAACTAAAGCCTAAATATTTGCAAAAATTTCATTCTGGGAGGCAATAGAAAAGCTTTGACTTATTAGAATAGAAGATCAAAGTGTTCGCTCTTCATCCTACATCTGTACGTGATGGTTTTATGTTTGTTCTGACAATTTTCAGGTTCTGTTTTCATGTGGCAATTGACAATATTTTGATTTTTTTGTGGGATCTGGAAAAATATAAGTTATTTGAATATCTGAGTTTGGCATTAAGGGAAGAGGAAAGGGCCTATGAGAAATTCAGCGTACCCCTATGCCTTATGTGCCTTGTATGGACTTGCAAGTTACAGTCTTAGCTACAAGAAAGGAATTCTGTTACCTCTCTTCTTCACCCTGTTCCCTTCACGACCACATCCATTCAATCTTTCATTAACTTCAGTCCTGATTACTGAAAAGGGAGATTTTCTTCTCCATCTTCCTTCCCAGAACAGACTAACGATAGCTTAGAGACCACGAAGGTCAAAGTTTACCAGCTGAGACCACCTAGACCAGTTCATTTCCATCTGACTTGTGGACAGTTATAACTCTATGAGTCATCTCAGCTGAGGTCAACTGTGTTTGGCTCAGAACAACAGAATTTTCTAGATAACATACATCATCTGAGGAGAATGGATGAGGTGATTATCTTATGACACATTATTTTGAAGTGTCTTGTTAAATGTCTATAGCTAACTGGTGATACAGTATACAACAGTCCTCAGTCATGCACACACTGTGATTCTGAAGTAGTCTGAGGTTTAGGGGAATTGCCATTTTGTTCAGTCTGTATGTGCAAAATAACCCTGTAGATTGCATTTTAAATATTAGGTATTAGGTATTCTTGACCCTTTTTTCTGAGGAAATCCTTTTTAAAATTCATTTTCCATTTTTTCTTCTATTGAAAATATATCTCTTCTCACATAACTTATTCTGATTATGATATCCTCTCCCTCTACTCTTCCCGCCCCTTCCCACCTTCCTGCCTTTTCAGACCCATTCCCCTGTCATTCCTCCATTTATATGCAATTTGCCTCTCTTAACAGGATTGAACAGTACAGTCCTTTGTATTCTTTTAAGACATTGCTTCAACTAGGTGGTGGGGGCTTACACCTTTGATCCCACCACTTGGGATGCAGAAGCAGACAGAACTCTGTGAGTTCAAGGCCAGCCTGTTCTACAAGAGCTAGCTAGTTCCAGGGCAGGATCCAAAGCTACACAGAGAAACTGCGTGTCAAAAAACAAACAAACAAAAAAATATATCGTTGTATTTCTTTGATAGTTTGAGGTTCAAAGGTTTGAACCCAGGATCTTAGGTATAGTAGAGAAGCATTCTGTACTTAAAAATTCTTTGCCTAATAATAATTCCACTATTATCATTATTATTATTAATTTGAGGAAAGGTACTATTGGGCTACTCAGTTTGGCCTTGCATTCATTATATAACCCAGGCAGACCTTCAATTCACGCTCAAGAATGGTTATTTTACTTATTTTTATTTCTCTACAGTGCCTGAGAAAGAAAAACATATTATCTGTTGAATAGAATTAAATTACTTGAAAAAACTGAAAAATCTATCCATGGTACAAGCAAAACTCAAAGAAAAAAAACCCTTAGATTTCTATTTTTTGAGTCCCACCTTGTTTGTGACTGGGTCGCTTGTTCACTGCTGCTCATGCTAGGTTGGCTGGCCTGCAGGCTTCCAGGAATTCCCCCGTCCCTGTTTTTCAGCTTAGCCCAGAAAGGCTGTTATTAGCAGTCACCATGCCTGTTTTTATGTGGAGTCTAGGGAATCTAAAATCAGATCCTCATGGTTCCATATCAAGCGTTTACCCACTGGGCTGTCTCCCCAACCCTGTAATCATTGCCCTTATATGTTTGTTGTTATTATTTGTTTAAGGCCAGCCTTAGCGTGTAAAATACCTCTGATGCCTATTTTACTCCGGGCTTGGCTCTGCTAATGTAGTCAAGGTTAACATTTCCTTCCTTCTCCTCGGATCATTATATCAGTGACTCGCTAAGCACCTGCCCTCAGGTTTATTGGAAGGAACGTAATAAGGGGATTTCTAGGAAAAACTGAAATCAAACAAGCTATTGCATCTCACTCATTTTCAAAAGAGAAAACTTTCACTACCGAGTGAAAGAGAACTAACTGGATGGAACACTCAGTAAAACACGAGGAATTTGGCGGAGCAGCTAAGCAAAGGATTAAAAACAAAGGTGAGAAAAGACTAGACAGGAGAAAGGGCATGGAGCAATTGGACCATACATGTTGTTGAGTGCATTTGCTCAAGTACGAGGGATGGTACCACAGAGGGAGCTATGACAGTTGGCCGCACAATGTCCATTGCTTTTATCATTCAAGAAGCCATTGGAAATTTTTGAGAGCAGCATTAGAAAAATAGAGATTCAACTTCGGAACCCATGACAGTCATAGTAATGGATAAATGAAACATATGGTCATGAGGAAAAAAAACCATCAGTATCTCTCTTGATTTCTAGGGTAGGAAGAGTTGTCTGGGAACCTGAGAGAAATACAGATTATTGGGTCCCAATGTACATGGCTCGAAGGCACTAACATCTGAGAATCTTTAGGCTGTGTTTCTAAGAAGGTGGTTGAGAGTAGAAGGAAACAGGGAGATACAGGAACAAGGAATAGGAGTCGGTGACAGCTTTTGAAATGAGATGTGCGTGGATGGATTTTCAGGCCAGAAATTAAAGTAAAATAAAAGCCCCTTAGTGCCGGGAAGACAGAGTTTGCTCCACAAATGTAAGGACCTGGGTTCGACTCTCTAAAATACACATAACAGTCAGATGGATAGCATAAATGTCTATAATCTCACACTTCCTACCAGAAAATAAGAGGCAGATTCAGGAGTCTTTCCAGAAGATTGGGAGCTGAGCAGCAAGTGTGTACAGTAGAAAACAGAGATCCTGTCCCAAGGTAGGAGGAAAAGATTAAGTTTGATGTGCACCTCCATGTCATGTCCTGAATGCGCGCACACACACACACACATGCACACACACACACACACGTACACACACACACACACACACACACACAGAGAAAAAGAGAGAGAGAGAGAGAGAGAGAGAGAGAGAGAGAGAGAGAGAGAGAGA